CTTTTCTTTGGCCACAGCTATGTGATTTTTAATCAGAATTTGCTCAACATATATCACAAAAACATGCCTTATCGGTATCCAAATCCCGCCAATGCATACCCACGGCAGGCCCTATGGGCTACAGTACGTGGTCTACTGTACTGTACTGTACTGTCTACAACGTGAGTTGTAACTGAAAAATTTCTGAATTTGGTTAGGTTGGTTAGTCAGTAAGTTAACAAGCCCCTACTATGTGCCAGGCACTCTGAATCACACAATCTGTTGCTAGGCCCCTCCTCAAAGCCCTTCCATCTTGGTGTCTGCTGACGTATCCTTCAAGAAACCATGGCGTACCAGGATATCAGAATGGGACTTTTTTTTTTCTCAGAGTAGGACCTAATTTTTAAAATTGATAGCATAGGGAATGGACATTTGATTTCATTGATCAAAGTTACTCTCAGATGAGGAAGTGTCCTCTACTAACGCAAGTTAGCACCTTTTCTGTAATTTATAGTCTTAGAGGGCTGCCTAGAGCCTTGAGAGGCTATCACTTGCCCAGGGTCATACATCCAGTTCTTGTCAGAGGGAGGACTTCAACCCAGGTCTTCTCGGCACCAAGGTCATCTCAATCTACCTCACTATACTACCTCTCTTTTTATTGATTTCTTTTGTTTTCATGCTGCCTTCACTTCCAAATGTATCTCTCCTCCTCCCCAATCCAGAGAGCCAGGCCTTGTTACAAAGAAAAAGAAAGAGAGAAAAAAATCAATAAAACTAATAGATTAATCAAGTAGGACAGTATATAATAATAGCTAATAGAGGTAGCTAGGTGGTATAATGGATAAAGTGCTGGACCTGGAATTAGGAAGATCTGAGTTTGAATCTAGCTTCAAGATACTTACATCTATATGATCCTGGGCAAGTCATTTAACCTCTATCTACCTCAGTTTCCTCATTGTAAAATGGGGATAATAAGAGCACCTCAGGGGTGTTGTGAGGATCAATGGAGATAATATTTACAAAGCACTTAGCCCAGTGCCTGCCACATAGTCTGTGCTATACAAATGTTATAATTTTTATTTTATAAATGCTAACCATTGTTATACAGTATTTAAGGTTTGTAATACATTTATGTACACTATCCCATTTGATACTTATAGAAATTCTATGAGGTAGGCGCTATTATCATCTCCATTTTACAGATGAGAAAACTGAGGCAGAGAGCGATTTGGTGAAATGTCCAGAGTCTCACAGCTAGTAAGTGTATGATGCTGGATTTGAACTCAGCTCCTCCTAAATCTAGTTTAGGACCCTACCCTACCCTTTAATCCACCTAGATGTTTATATGTAGTATTCCATACCTATTCTCCTTCTACCCTAAAACCCCTTCAAAGAAGAGGGGAAAGAGCCCCTCTTACAAAGACAAAAACCAAACCAAGTCCCTGCCTTACAGAGTTAAAAAGACAGCTGGACAAGACAATATGCACGCACATAAGTATTACACATGTTCAAGGCTAGTCTCCTAACCCTCACTCACACTGGCAGGTTGGCTCCCCAAAAGGCAGTTGTCATATCACTACACTGAGGGGCGTCTTCCCCCTCAGGGTTCTAGGAGATCTTGAGGGGTCTGGGGATGTGAGATTTGTCCAGTGTTTTAGGTCATAAGCCTACCATGTGTAATTTTCTCATGATTATCAGTTGATATTATCAGTTGAGCTTCCATTTTAAAGAGGATGCCCAGGCCACTCATGTCTTCATTCTTCTCCAGGCTGCGTTCCTGCCTTTCCTCCTGGACTTTCTCTACAATGCCCCCACTCTGAGTAGCTGCATTCCCCACCCCATCCCCCACTGTCCCCCTGTATTGAGCTTCCTTCTATGTTCTGACTTAGAATATAAACACCTTGCAGTCAGGGGCTGTCTTTCTTTCTGCTTGTATTTGTATTTCCAGTGATTCGTGCTGTGCCTGGTACTTGGTAATTGCTTACCTAAGCCCTCGTTGACTTCTTGATATCAGTTAGACAGTCATACTTAATTAGCTGTTAGAAAGGGTAGTTATGCAGTTAGGTGGCACAGTGGATAAAGCACCGGCCCTGAAGTCAGGAAGACCCGAGTTCAAATCCGACCTCAGACCAAACACTTGACACTAGCTGTGTGACCCTGGGCAAATCACTTAACCCAAATTGCCTAAAAAAAAAAAGATGCATGGAAACAAAAGAGCTTAGCATCTAGTTAGTAAGAGATCTGTTCTGTGAAATACTAAGCAAACAACATGGCTAATATGGAAATATGTTTTGCATGACTTCACATGTATAATTGACATCATATTGCTTGCCTTCCCAATGAGTTGGAGGGAGGGAGAAAATTTGGAACTCAAAATTTTTTAAGAAATAAATTTAAAATTAAAGGGAAAAAATAAAATAAAATACAAAGCAAAATCACCATCAGATACTAGCCTCCCACCAGTATGCCAGGATCTTTGCCCTTTCCCTTCCCCTCCCAGTGAGTCAGTCTCTCTCCCTCCCCCATCCCCTCCCCTCCCCGGTCAGCTGGGCCAGTTTCGAGCCAGCTTCATACTGCTTTGCACCAGGCACCAGGTATGATTTCTGGTACTTGCCCTAGGCACAAAAGGCCCTATTTCTGACGCTGCTGATGTATTCTGAATAAGGAAATATTTGCGTGGAAAATTTTTCTCTCTCTTTTTTTTAAAACTCTTTGTTTACCTTTTATTTCATATTCCAAATACCACCCCCCCTCCCTCCCATTCTATAAAATTTTGGTTCCTTCAGAGGCGTTTTTCTGCCAAAGCCAGTGTTAGAAGACAGCTGCTGCCACATTGCTGAGTTCATGTTTGGAAAGGGCTTTGAGAGTCTTGACTGGAACGGGCTGCACAAACGCGGGATGTTATTTCTAAGCTGCTGCTGGGAGGGAGGGGAAGGGACAGGGAGGGGAACCCTCCTGGGGTTCCTTGAGCAGCAGGAGATTAAGGGTCAGGGGAAGAAGGAGATTACGAACAATTTCCTGAGGCTCTGGAGGGAGCAAATCCACGGGTCTAGGGAGGGATTGTGGCTTTGAAGCCCCCTCACTGCCATGGTAGACTAGAAGACTGCAGGGTGCACGTGGAACTGTCTCTCATACCCCCGCGGTAATCCTGGGTTATAGAGATCAGCAAATGCTGTGTTATGTGTCATCCTGATAAGAATTTCAATGAGACTCATTTCCATGAGACCCATTTTCTGGGAGATTCAGGGCTTGGACACAAGAATGAATGAATGAATGAATGAATGAATGAATGAATGAATGAATGAATGACCTTTTATTAAATATTTATTAGGTGTCAAACACTGTGGGTAAGTGCTTGGGCATACAAATACAAATCCAATAGTCTCTATCCTCAAGGAGCTGACATTCTAAAAGGAGAAGACAAAGGAGGTAAGGGGAGAGAGGGATTGCTTCTGATTTTTTTTTAATCTAGTCTCTTCCATAGACCAATTTTTCCTATTAAAAAAAAAACCTAATAACAAATAGTTTTGAACATTAATGCTTTAGAACATTTTGGGTTCTGAAAGTGTCATCTTTCATTGATTCCTATTTAAAAAAATATTTCCTTAGGATTCTGGATCTTTTGTTCCTCCAAATAAATTTTTTAAAAATACTTTTTTCTAGCTCTATAAAGTACCCCTTGGTAGTTTGATTGGCATAGAAGAACAAATCATTTTCAAAATAAAAATTATAAACTATAAATGAAAGTATGCTCCAAAGCATCAACAGTAGGAAAAATGCAAATTTAAAAAAAACTGAGATTTTCCTTTCATACAATGCACATTGGCAAAGATGATGCAACAGAGACAGTTGGTGTTGGAGGGTATGTGAAAAGACAGGTACACTGATGCATTATAGATGAAGCTGCAAAGTAGGTCAAGCATCATGGATTTAAATTTGGAATTATGTAAGAAAGATTACTAAGCTGCATATACCCTCTCATGCAGTGATCCCATTACTGTGCATACACCCCAAGGAAATCAAGCACAGAAAAAAAGTACAATGAATAGCAGAATATTCATAGTAGTATTCTTTGGCTTGGAACTGGAAACAAAGTGGGTGCCCACAGATCAGGCAGTGACTAAAAAATCAATGGCATGTGAATGTAATAGAATACTATCAGGCTGTAAACATGATAAATATAAGGGATTCTGAGAAACATGGGAAGATTTTTAAAAATCTTAATTGATATCTTTTGTTTTTATAATACTTTAATTTCTGAATGTTTCCCTCTTCCCCATTCCCAACCCTATCACTGAGCTATGACAAAACATGAGATGATTTATATAAGTAGATGCAGAATGAAATAAGCCTAACCATGAGAACAATATACACAATAACTACAGCAACATAAATGAGAAAAAGACACTAGAAGGTAGTCAAACTCAGTAATTGAAAATCTAACAAACATGCCAGAGAACAGGTAAGGAAACATAGCTCTTCTGTCACAACAGGAAGGCTGGAAGAATACTTGGACAGAACATTTAGGTACATTGTCAGATACAATCACTGTGCTGGATGTGTTTTACTTAATTGTTTCTCTTTTTTATGACTGAGGGTTCTTTCTTGGGTGTGTTGTTCAAGTGACCGATATAAAGATGAATAATTTATTATGCTAGATGGGGCCCAGGTAAAACTATTTCCAGTTCTTTGCTATCACAAGAACAGATGTTACAAATATTTTGGTACGTACGGGTCATTTTGCTCTTTCTTTGATCATTTTAGGGTGTAGACTTAGTAGTAATATCATTGGGTCAAAGAGCACACACACTTTTGTGTACTAGCATACATTTGATAACAAGGTAAATTGCTTTCCAGCATGACTGGACCAATTCACAGTTCCACCAACCATGCATTAATGTAAGTCACTTCTGCTATGATGCTTATCTTGAAAATGTAAATTTGTTCCAATGTAATTGGTATATTAGGGAACAATGTGAGTATAACATGGATTTATTATTTAATTATCCTCAATTTTTATCATTTAGAAGCATCAAGAATACAGAAAACCTGCAAGCTGCAACCCTTCAGACATCTACTTCCCAAGCAAACTTCAAATCTTTTTTTAAGGTAAAATGCTATATTTTACTCTATAGGTTCTGATGTTCTGGTACAGTAGAAGCTGTAGGTGGAGGAGGGCTGGTCTAAACCCATGCACACCATCCCCAATCCTCATCTTCAGCCCCGCTGCCCCTCCCAACCCCCAGTTTAGATAGGGTTGTTTTATTTTGCCAGCCCCCTGCCCCTTAGGAACCAGGGCATGGGTGAAGCAGCAGCCTAAGACCTCAGATATACAGTTTTTAAGTGGTTGTCCCCAAATTCCATTTTTCCCATAAACCTGTGCACAATTTTACATGGTTTAATGATTTTCAGGGATGTATATATTATGTTATCGAAGAATTGACTGTTCCAGTTTCCCCACAGCCCCTCCAGCATTTGTCATTTTCCCTTTTTTTTTTTTATCACTTTTGCCAATCTGCAGATCTTTCTCTTTCTAACTTCTCTCACATGCGATGTAAATTCTTCTTGGTAGGATTATTTGATCTGAACCCTTTAATTAGTTCTAGAAAATAGAGAGAATGGCCAATAGAATGGTTCTCTCTAATAACTTTACAATTGGAGTCATGAGATTTTGAACTCGGTCTCAGAGGGCATAGTGATAAACTTGTCCTCTTGATCTGAGGTACTCCTATGAAAATACATTAGCATTGATTGACATTGGTTTGACATTGTCTCTGAAATGAGTGTCATTTAGTACGTGAAAATTTTATTCAGAACCCTATCTCTTCTAGCATCAATCTCTGAATCGCTGCCTAATTTATGGGGATACATATCTATGATTTTATGTAGAGAAATCTGGTGTGAAAACACCCAACCTACACTTGGTAGATCATTCATTAATTAGTAATTTGTAATCCTAGAGAGTTGCCTGGGCTGCTAAAAGGTTAAGTGAGTTGCCAGGTCTTCTCAACTCCAAGACTGGCACATATTCCACACTATCTCCATAATAATAACTCACCTAGATCCCTTCCTCTAACTCACAATATCACCTTGTGACCTATGACTGAAAGTGTTCTCTATTCTTGTAACACAGTCATCACTGACCAACCCTTTAGCGTCCTTTGTCCCCAAGACTTCAAGCAGTTTACAGCACAGTCCAAATGTACAACTTTCCCCCAGGGTTCAATACAAATGCTAATGCACCAGACGTCCCAGAACTGCATTGCTCTATCTAAAGAGGTGTCACCCAGCTCTCTTACTTGCCTGCCAGTTCTCCTTTCCTCCTGTCTTTCCTCAGATATCACACTGCATAATAGGCCAACTCAAAGAATCGTGCTTTTACTATTTTTATCCACTGCCTTAGGCAGCCTGCAAGTGGGAAAGATGCTGGTGACCTCATTAGGGCTATTGGCAGAAGTTGATACCTCCCTGTACCAGAGATTAATTGTCTTGCCTTTCTGAATGTAATGCCATTGTTCAGCATAATTATTTAACTATATCTAGGCCTTGGTTTGTATGATTGGATCAATGTTATTAATGTAATTTTTAATGCAATTTTTGCCTTAATGTACTTTTTCTTGGGGTCAACTTCGCTAATCTTTCTCTTTCTAACTTCTCCCACATTTGATGTAAATTCTTCTTGGTAGAAATTATTTGATCTAGTTCTTTTAATTAGGTCCAGAAAATGAGAGGCAGCTAAGGTGGCATAGTAGATAGAGTGCTGGACCTGGAGTCAGAAAGACTCATCTTCCTGTGTTCAAATCCGGCCTCAGACACATTAACACTTACTAGCTGTGTGACCCTGGACAAGTCACTTAACCCTATTTGCCTCAGTTTCCTCATCTGTAAAATGAGCTGGAAAAGGAAATGGCAAAGAAAATGGTATCTCTGCCAAGAAAACCCCAAATGCGATCACAAAGAGTCAGATACAACCAAAACAACTGAACAACAACAAGTAAATGAGAATGACCACTGGAATGGTTTGATGGTACATTTTAATGTACTTTTCTAATGAATTTTCAAGACAATTACAAATATACATTAACTTTGATATTCAAAAAGTTGTACTGAAAGAAGATTAGACTGGGAGTCAGGAATTCCATGTTCTAGTCCTAACTGCCTTTCATTTGCTATGTGACCTTGGGCAAGTCAGTTGATCTCTTTAGGCCTCAGTTTTATCTTCAGTGAAATAAAAAGTTTGAACTAAACAATCTCTAAAGTACCTTTAAGCTTTTATGTTCTATGAATCTTTCCTAGTTTTCAAGTCAATTTAAGATATTAACAGCTTTGCCATGATCTGTCTTTATAAATCTTAGGGCATCCATATACCCTAGGGTATCCATAGGGCAGTTAAATGGCACAGTGGATAGTGCACTGGGCCTGGAGTCAGGAAGACCTGAGTTCAAATCCAGTCTCAGATACTTAGTAGCCGTGTGACTCTAGGTAAGCCACTTTACCATGTTTGCCTCAGTTTTCTCATGTGTAAAATGAGCTGGAGAAGGAAATGGCAAACCACTCCAATATCTCTTCCAAGAAAACCCCAAATGGGGCACAAAGAGTTGAACACGACTGTAAATGACTGAACAACAACAAATCTTGTATCCGTGGTGTATTAATTCATAGAGTATCTATTTTATCATGAGACTTTAATTTTCAGAAAAATTAATTAGAATATAAAGAGTAAGAAAAATTTACGAACTCTACAGGGAGACTGAGACTAGAGAGAACTATGATATGAGAGAATATTAAGAGAGGAATGTAACCTGAGTCCCAAAGTTCATCGGAATGGGACTCTCTCCTCATTGATAGAGATCAATGCCCCACACCTGCAGAGCTGGTAAGATGAGGAGAGAAGAGATCCAGTCTGTTGAATCTCTTTGGGTTCTTCTGGCTTCCAGCCTTGAGAGAGAAGATGGACAATGCCAACCCTAGTTCAGATTGTTGAAAAGAGAAAAAGACTCTGGGAGGAAGTCAACATGAGAGAAAGTGGCGATCTCCATCATGTCTCTATCTCCAGCTTGCTACGCTAGAGACTTCAGGGAATTTTTCTCCTTGGGTGAGATCTGGGACTCTCTCTCTCAGTTGAGCTGTGTTACTTCATTCACAATGGGAGCTCCTTCACTCTGTACTGTTGGTATATATTCTCCTATGCATACTTTCTCTGATTTTTATTTTGCTATCGACTTAGATAAATGAGTTCATTTGGTTTATGTGTTCATTATGGAACTCCTGCTCCCATGCTCTTCAGCATATTGTTTTCCAAGGTATTGTCAGATGCCTTCAACAAGGATGAAACAGCATCAAGATCTGCTTCTGCATTAATGCTAAACTATTTAACTTGAAAAGGATACAAGCCAAGACTAAAGTGGAGGGAGAGTTAGTATATGATTTTTTTGTTCACAGATGATTGTGTACTCAGTGCAGCCTCTGAGGCTGAGACGCAACAAAGCATGGATTGATTCTCTGCCACTTGTGCTAATTTTGGCCTAACAATTAGCAGCGAGAAAACAGAGGTTCTCCACCTGCCAGCATTGTACCACGCATATATGGAACCATAAGTTATAGCAAATGGAGAAATATTGAATGCTGTGGATAAGTTCACTTACTTTAGCAGTATACTTTCCAGGAATATACACGTAGATGATGAGGTTGACATGCACATTGCCAGAGCTAGCTCAGTGTTTGGTAGACTCTGGAGGAAAGTGTGAGACAGAAGAGATATTAGGCTGTTTATCACACTAAAAATCTACAGAGCCATTGTGCTGACCTCATTGTTGTATGCCTGTGAAACCTAGACAGTCTACCAGTGCCATGCCAGGAAATTGAACCGATTCCATTTGAATTATCTTAGGAAGATTCTGAAGGTCACCTGGCAAGAAAAAGTACCAGATATGGAGATCCTTTCTTGAGCCGGACTGCCAGACATTCAAACTCCACTGTAGAGAGCACAACTCCAATAGGTTGGCCATGTTGTTTGAATACCAAACCTACAATTGCTTAATGCTTAAAAGACTATTTTACAGAGAACTCACATAAGGCAAGTGTTCACATATAAAGACACTCTCACGGTTTCACTAAAGAACTTTGGAATTGATTTTGAGAGATGGGAAACACTAACACAGGATCATCGAGCATAGCATGCCTGCATCAAAGAATGTTCTGTGCTCAATGAGCAAAGCAGAATTGCGGTAGCTCAAAAGAAACGTGAGACGCACAAATTTAGAGACATCTCCCTCCCAGAGGGTCATACAGACCATTTGTGTCCAACCTGTAGTAGAGCTTTCTGAGCTCATAATGGTATGATCAGCCACAGCTGGTCACAGTATACCTTGACCCTCACATTGTGTTGTCATTTTGATCCTCTTTGAGCACAAAGGACAAACAATAACACTTATGGAACTGCTCTTTGATGGAAAGCCAAGTCTTGAACAGGAAGCTTGGGGCTCTCCTTCCCCTGTTAAAGAACAGGGATCAATAACTTAGCTTGAACCTGAACATCCTGGATTGACAACATTTAAGGGAGCAGACCAAGCTAATTCTAGCGCAGTACCTCTTCTCTCAGAGAAGAGCAGAGGGGCCAGCCTCTAGTTCCTAACCTCTTATTTTTCCTCCTGGTAGGAACTGTTGTCGTTGTGTTTGTCTTTTGTTCTCAAAGAGGACCATGACATCAGGGAGATGATGTCATGACTTGCAATTGACTTTGATTTGAGTGAGGGAACTGTGCAAGGTCACCAGACTCACTTTCTCCTCCAGAGCCATCTGGGTCCAGTGGCCAGATATTCATCAGAATGACTGGAGATGGCCCAGGATGCAATGGGAAACCCTGGCCCTTTTAAGCTAAGGTCTAAGTCTTCATTGGAGAAGAGTGTGGGGAGGAGATTCTAGATATGTATCTAGTCTGGCCTCCTTCCTTGTATTACAGGAACAAAACCAGTTTCCTAAAAAAAAGGCTCTGAGTTAAGAGGGAGGGGTGGCTAGAGAAAGTGAACTAGAGCTGAATAAGAAGACAACTGAGAAAGTGATTTGGAGAGCTTTGGAATAATGAAGACCAGAGTTCAAATTTGGGATAA